TGGACAGGCAGTGGGCACCAGAACCTTTAGTCCAGAAGCAGGAGGTGTGAGGGAACAATAACACAGAAGGGTGTGGTGTGATGGATCCCCTATAATTACTCATCTGTTTATTATTCCTGTGGCTCTGTTGGCACAGAAAGAACTGCAGACTGTGTCAGCTCTGTGTGTGAGTGTGTGCGTACGCAGCCGTGCACAGGCTCCACACACTCAGAGTGACTCCATCCACCACCACTCACTCATCTGCTGGCCCTCCTGTGAGTTTCTATGAATGGCTGCACTTCTGTTGTCTGCATCCTCAAGGCTCGAGTCTGAGCAGCCCGTCCTCATTGTTCACCATCAATGAGAGATAAAAAAAAGAGGTGGAATTATTTCCCAAGGTCATCTCTGACCTACTCCACTGCATCTCTTGCGACTTCACTCTAATCAGTGATGTAAATGGTTCTCTTTTTAGTTTTTCTTGTATTCATTCCATGAAAGACAATTAAAAAAAAACAAAACAAACAAAAAAAACAAAACACGCTCTTTAGAAACCTTTCTACAAACGTAGAATTGTCTGCAGAGATTTATGCAGACAGGAGTCCCAGGCTAAAAAATAATGAATAATTACTCCAAGCATTTTGTAATAGTGTAGAGAAGTTTAAGCAACTTTAATCACTATTTCAGAAGACAAGCTACATTCATGATAAAGCTACAGAGTTTATTGAATTCTTTTTGTGGGTTATAAAAGTAGAAACACGAAAAATCTTTTAGTACAGCAGGAGGTTGGAGCTCATTTTTGAACACAGACTTTATTAAGGAAGATTATAAGATTAGCTTCCAAAGCCTAATGTTTCTCTAAAGCAGTTGTGTTAGCTTGATAGCAGTACTACTAATGACAAAACAAAACCTTGTTTGACTCAGAAACCTTCAGGACGTGTCTGCAGCCTAAGAAATTGTGCTGCATTTTTCTAGACTCATGATATCTTGCCACATATTTCACTGTTTTTGTTTTTAAGAGACCAGCTAAACTATTTTAGTAAATTTCTGCAACAGGTCATGTGAACATCTGACTCAAAAGAAGAACTGGGGTTAAATAAGCTAAGACAGGATTACATTAAGCATTGCCCCTGGTCAGTTCAGAACCTAAATACTTTTGGATAAATATAGGTAAAGAACATTTTATTTTTCAATTTTGAATTACCCTTTAGTTCATGTAGGCCTTTCACATAAAATATTTTCATACCAACACCTGTCTTTCATCTATGAAGCCCCAATAACCTAAACTCATCAGGAATAAATAGAAAATAAGGAATACATTTTCTAAACATTCATAAGCTGTTAGATTTGATACTGAGAATGCAATGCTATTTTACTTCGAAGGTTTTCACATTTTTGTTACTTTTAGGCTGTGACAAATAAAAAAGAAAATAAATAAATAAAATAAAACCACTTTGCAGTTCAATGTAAACTGTGTCATATTTTAGGAATGTAAAAAGGTTTAACAATGCAGCACAATTTTTTTGTATTACTAACATATTATAATTTCTCATATTAGGATCTTACAGTCGGTGCAAACTTGATAAGTAGAGGGTACATTTTACATTTGCTTATTTTTAATCAAATAACCTAACTTATTCAATACACATGAGTGAGTATGGCAAAGGCTCCAACAAATATCATCTCAACAGCAAACATATAGAAGATCGTTTTTCTGCTCAGAACATACCAAAATTGATTTCTTTTTCTTTTCTCTTAATGCAAAACGTCTTTTGGTGAAGACTGAGCACTGCAGCGCTTCTTGAAAACATCAGCCCAACAATTAAATATGGTGGTGGCAGCATTATACTTTGGGAATTCTTTTTCTCACCAGGGACAGAAAAATATAAACAACAAATTGAGCAAAAAAACAAACAAAAAAACTAAAAACAACTTGCTTTGGGGCTGAGGCACGCCTTCCAGCTGTATAGTAAACCTGAACATAACCAGAACTTGAAAGCTGCTGTGCACACAAGCTCTTCGTCTTATCTGACAAACGAAGCTAATTTGCATAGGAAAAAAAAGCAAACAATTTAGTTTGCTAATGCAGAACGCTTTGCATAGACATAAACTACAGTGAAATAATTGTTCTACAAAATATTGGTTCAGGGAGGTTGAATCAGAACTCACTTATTTTACATAGAAATGTCAGCCAGTCTTGTCTAGCAAAAGTAATCTCAGTTATTATGGCCTGTTTCTCAGCTTTTATCACACCGTTTCAAATACTGGTAATCTAATTCAAAACGAGGAGAAAAAAAAAATGGCAAGTACTGACTCCGGAAAGCAAAAAGACGACAAAACACAACAGATGCCTTAATGTGGACGCCACTTCAAGTCTGTTCAGCTGTGACTCTCAAGCTGTCACTGCTTGTGATTGAAAACCAACAGTGACATGCCATCGCTTGCATCTATGTCACCGTGACAACTTTTTTTTTCTTTGCTAAAATTACTTTCTGAAATCAAAAATAAACCCCTGGTTACTCCATTCTAAATCAAACCAATTCAAATCAAATTGTATTTATATAGCACATTGCAGCAACAAGGGATTTCAAAGTGCTTCACACCATAAAAACACAAAGTCATAATACACACAGGCAACAATTGAAACATTACATTTAGTCAAGTGCCATCGTTAATTTAGTCCTTGATTATGTTTCAAAATCATTTCTAAACGAGTGGGTTTTTAGTCTAGATTTAAAGGCACTCAGTGTTTTAGCTGTTTTTCAGTTTTCTGGAAGTTTGTTCCATATTTGTGGTGCATAGAAGCTGAATGCTGCTTCTTCATGTTTGGTTCTGGTTCTGGGGATGCAGAGCAGAACAAAACCAGAAGACCTGAGAGGTCTGGAAGGTTGATACAACAACAGCAGGTCTTTAATGTATTGTGGTGCTAAGTCGTTCAGTGATTTATTAACTAACAACAGTATTTTAGTCTATTCTCTGAGCTAAGGGAGCCAGTGTAAGAACTTTAGAAGTGGGGTGATGTGCTCTGTCTTCCTGGTTTAAATGAGAACGCGAGCACTATTAAGTGTGCAAACTTTTTTTGCCAATTATATGGATGGTGAAATAACTCCAGACTGAATAATACAAAATAAATCTGTAAAAACAGGTAGCCCCTTGCAAAAGCATCTTTACCCTCTGAACTATTTTCAGATTTTGACATGTTGACATGGTGGGAAAATCAAATTAAAGTTTTTTTTTTTCCACATAAATAATATCTAAACTGTGTTGTGCATTTATATTTACCTGTTATGTTGTAGAACTGGATTTGACTCTAATTACAGCTGAAAATCAGGAACCATATTTAAATATGTTTTTGTCTAATCATGCTTTTGCACTTTTAGAGACTGAAGTTTTCAGCCTTTCTTCTTTTCAGAACTGATCAAGTTTGGTTGATGGCGAACCTCTGGAAAGAGATTTTTTAAAAAGTTTTTAAAAAGATTCTCAACTTAATAATGCTGGACTTTGACTTAACCATTCTAAAATAAGAATATACTTATTCTAAACTATATGGCTCTGGCTGTATACTTAACAAGTATTCAAGTTGCTGTTGACGGTGTGTCCTATGACTTTGTATTTTTGTGTTTTTATGATGTAAAGCACTTTGAAATGCCTTGTTGCTGAATGGTGATGTACAAATATAAAACTAATTTTGCATGTTGGCTGAAATAAATTTGAATAAGTCTCATCTGACTGGAACTCCTTTTTACACATCTCCTACATGGCTTGTGGCAAACTGCAACAAGACTTCTTGTTTTTGTTGGATACTGGCTTTTTCTTCTTTTTTTTGCCTCTTTTTCATAAAGAATTAATTTATAAAAAAAAAAAATAACCTGACTAATTTTCCACCTGATCTGTGGTTCTCAGCAAGTCCTCTAGAATCACAAAAGTCCCCTTGGATGCTTCCCTGGTTAGTGCTCTCATTGTGGGGCTTTCAGCTATGTTGGATGACCACATGTTGCTTGGCGATGGGCTGTGCCATGTTCCGAGTGTTAGGCCACTGTTTGTTCAAGCCCGTTGTGAGTTATTCGTAGAACAGCTGCATTTATACTGAGAGTATTTTACACATATGCTAATTATGTTTACCAACTGTGATGTGAAGAGATATTTGGTTGCACTGTATGTTATTAGGTGGATCAGAGTTTTACTCTATACACTATTTTTTTATCGATCAGTATAATAAAATAATTAAAAAAAAATCCCAATAAAATTGAGTGAGTTATGTGGCGATAATGTGACACAATATGGAAAAACTTGAATGGGAATGAGCATTTCTATTTCATATATGTCAGAATTTGACTGACACTTGGCATTAGACACTGACACCTTCCAAGTGTCCATTCCTTCCTTGTTAAGATAGGTGCCATTCCAGAGCTCCATCATCAGTAATTATGTCAGCACTATAATTAAACCACAAACAGGATGACAGCGCATGCCGCAGTTAAGCACAACAAAATTCTCTTCAATTGCGGTTGTTTGGTGTGACTCGCTATCTTGTGGCTTAATCATAACTCGGGGGCATCCTCCTTCCCTCGGACAGAACCATCTATAGGAGTGTTTTTTCTTCTTCTTTGTATCACTCTGTCTGGGCGCAGCGCGCCGGAAGCAGACCATAACAGTCTCTGTGAACGCAAGCCAGGAAACAAGCCTCTGCTACCCATCCTCCGCTCCTCCACAAAGCCCAGTCATCATTACCGGGCACCGTGCCTTATTGGCTTGCTCCCGCCTCCCTCATCTTCTTCTTACACAAACACACACACAAACACACACATGCTCCCACCCTTCCTTCTCTCTGCCATCACCAATGTGCGTCGAGAAAATCTCCTCCTCCCAGTCCTGAGCGCACGTCTCCAACCAGCCTTTTACGCGCGTAGAAGCTCTTCTCGAGAATCCCCTCGCGGTCGGCCCCTCCCCTTTCCGTTTTCTCGCCGCCCTCATTCATTCATGACCCCCGAGCAGTGACGTAGGAGATTCCACGGTGCCCACTGCCGTAGGCAACTACGGCATGCTGGAGTATATATGGGACAGTGGTGGCCATCAGCCGGCACACTCTCAGTCGCTCCGACTCGGGAACCAGAGCATCAGCGGAGATAGCAAGGCTTTACTTCGCCCTCTCAGGCTAACTCGCTTTGGGCTTTGGTTCAGGATGGACAACTCTTCTATTTCTCGGAGCCGACGAAGCTCCATCATGCGCAACTGCAGAAGTAAGTTCCTTTACCGTCTTTGGCTGGGGACATTTGGATTGTACTTGGAGTTGAAACGTGTTTGCTCTATGATAAAAATTGTGCATGAATGCATTAAGTTTTATATGAAAATATATGTGATTTCTGTGATGTATATTATAAGCAGAGAAAATGGATGGATGATGAACGTTTTACTATTCAGAACCACAGATGAATTTCCCATTAATAATTTCCGTCTCATTTATAATTGCACGTTTTTCGTATTGGTAGAAGTAGAAACGAATTTTACTAAAGTCTCAGAATTCAATGTTGTGTTTTGACTGAGCGGTTTTGTGGCCATGTGGTGCGTAATGGTCAGAGCGAGTGCGTAAGTGTCATAGGCATAACTCCGAGGTGTGTATTCTTTTGGAAACTGTAACTTTTAGCTGAAGTTTCCGTGTGTTCAAGCTCTTTATTGAAACTGGAGAATTAAACACATATTTCAAATGAGTGCAGTTGCTTTAACGTCAGAACCGTCCATGCTTTTTGCACTGGATACAAGAGGATGAATTCAGCACCACGGACTGCTCTCACCTCTTTCTCTTCTCTGTCTCTCCTCCAGACGGTCTCTCCCTCTGGCTGGTGGTCTGGCTGATCCTCGGCAAGCCAAATCCGGCGTCGGCGTGTCCGCACCACTGCGTGTGTTACCCGACGCCCATGACTGTGAGCTGCCAGGCGCAGAACTTCACCGCCGTCCCCGTGGGAGTGCCGTACGAGTCCCAGCGCGTGTTCCTCCAGAACAACCGGATTACGGAGCTCAGAGTTGGCTCTTTTGGCTTCGGAACTCAGGTAGGAGGGGGAAAAAAAAAGTTTCAAAACGTGTTTTAATTGTATTTTATTTTCCCAGCATTTAAATCTAAAGAAAAAAATAGCTCAAGATTTTTATACGTCTTCTTGTAGGTTCTGTGGCTGTTCTCCAACAACATCACTTGGATTGAGGCAGGTGCTTTCAGTGAGCTGAGGGACTTGGAGGAGTTGGATCTGGGAGACAACCCCGGACTTCACAGGCTTGAGGGTGGAGCTTTCCGCGGCCTTGAGAAGCTCCAGAGCCTCCACATGCACCGCTGCCGGCTCACTGCCCTGCCCCATGACATCTTCCACAAGCTTTACAGCCTACAGTTCCTCTACCTGCAGGTAGGGGCGCTAGAGACACATTGCTGCTCTCACACTTCTGATTCACATACACATGCAGCTGCCCACACTGTGCACGTGCTACCCACATTCCAGATCAGATACGGTGAGTTCTTTTTTTTTTTGCTTATCTTCTTTTCTTGGTTTTCAGGAAAACAACCTTCACTTCCTGCAAGATGACATCTTTTCTGACCTCATCAACCTGAGCCAGCTGTTTCTCCATGGCAACCGGATCCGAACCCTCTCAGAGAACGTGTTCCGTGGCCTGGTCAACCTCGACCGGCTTCTCCTCCATGACAACCGAATCCGTCAGGTGAACCGCCGCGCCTTCCGCGATCTGGGCCGCTTGACGATGCTTTTCCTCTTCAACAACTCCCTGGCCGAGCTGCCAAGCCAGACCCTGAGGGACACCCAGGGCATCGAGTTCCTCCGCCTCAATGCCAACCCCTGGTCCTGCGGCTGTGAGGCCCGTGCCCTGTGGGAGTGGTTCCGTGAGGCCCGCGTCTCATCATCCGAGGTGATCTGTGCCTCTCCTTCCATCCGCCGTGGCCAGGATCTTCGCTTCCTCAGAGAGATGGACTTCGCCCTCTGCCCCCTGCCTGACCCTGGCTCCATTGCTGGCTCCACCACCACCACCTTCAGCACCAAGACCCGCTGGTGGTTCCACAAAAACAAGCCCCAGTCCTCCACAAAAGGCATCTTTGAGAAGTCGTCAGAGACTGTCAAGGCTGGCTTGTATGGAAAAGGTCCTTCTACAACCACTTCGGTGGTCAAGTATGAATTGGCGGATGAAGAGCTGGCTCTGCCCAAACTTGACCCTGAAGAGTACTGGGCAAACTACGGCAATGAAGAACCAGGTGTCTCAGTGCGGTGCTTTGAGCTCGAATGTCCACCTGAGTTTGATTTGCCTCCATCTTCCTCTCCTCCCAGATCATCCTCACCCTCTTTACTCTCTCTACTAGCCCTCTCTGTGTTCACCATCTGCCTCCACCTACTATTTGGCTGAATTGAACTCTTAGTGCCACACCCCTTCCCTTCCAGCCTGTTTTAGAGGCTGAAGGAACCCTGTTAGACTCTTTATACCCCCTTTGCCCACTCTGCTGTCAGGTATTCCTCAAGGAACAGCATGGGAGATTGGGGGAATGGCTAGATTCTTAATCTACCACCTATAGGGCTTAACACTTATTCAGGGCTGCTAAGAGTTCTTCATCTACAATCATCTACAATGATCAACAGGTATGGCTTTCTGTGCCTTACCTGCATTGCGACTCCCTGTGAGCAGGGCTACGAGGGCTGAGTCCATCACCAGTAAGAAGGCAATTTGATAGCAGTTGTGTACGATGTTGTCAATTCTGTCATCTCAACTTTAGTCAATACTACTAGTGCTATTACTGCATCCAGCTACCTGGCTGCTATGAATACTACGATTACTGTTAGAAACAGTGTACAGTAATTACACTACTGTAACCACTTAAAGTGTCATGTAAATAGGTTTGTGTTGTGCGAGTGTTCAGGCTGACTTTGTGGTCCAGCACAATCACTTTTCATTTGGATCCAGGAAAACTGTGAAGGCTTGTGCCTCTACTTGACAGAGCACCATGCACAGTGAAGCAGGGAAGAGATAGGAGCACAAAAATACTGTGAAGACAAAGACGACAGAGGGGAATCCAAGATGACAGGGACAGCAGACGGGAGGGAGGGAGAGTGTTTGAGCAGCAATAAGAGTGGGAGAAGAAGGTCAGTGCTGGCAGTAGAAGCAGCAACCTGCAGGAGATAAGTAATAAATCTGGTTCACCTGTAGTCCTCCATTCGCCACCCTCTGTAAATATGGTGTTGTTTAGCGACAACCACATGGAGAGAATGCTTTCTTTCGGAAAGCTGGAGATTTTTGATTTTGGATGTCTTTCTGTGACATATTGATATAATGTGTGATGATTGTTAACTTGAATGCCAATGAATGATCTTGATATAAAAGATATACTGAATATTTCCTGCATCATGCCTCTCTTTGATGAATATCTTCTAAGTGGAGGGGTTTTTCTTTTTGTGGGCCGTTGGTGACTTTGAAGCAATATGAATGTGGGAGAGAATATGGTAAATCAAAAATATAAGATACAAACAAAAGTAGCAGATTGCTGTTGGGTGACAAAACCGTGACTAAAGAGCTTGTGGACCTAAAGAACTGAGCACACAGTCACATGGGCAGCGCTGGCTATGACAGGCATCTGTGAGTTGCATCAAAGGCAATGAATGGATTCACAAGTTGGCAACTCTGCAAAGGCAAATACGTCACTAGATTTAGCACTTCACTGACTCACCAAGGGGTTGCGCCAAACGGACAGACGAGGTGTAAATTGGATGCTTTTTGTGAGCAAACTAAGAGAGCAACACAGGAATCCGGAGCCAGTAATTTAAGACTCCCTTGCAGCTGGCGGAGATTAGGCTTTCCAAAAAAGTCAAGTTCAGCAGGGGATTCTGAGGCTGCAAGACATTTTGATCAAGAAGCAGAAAGAGTTAAAGCTGAAGCAGGAAGTTTCCAAATATAGGCATCCACACTGAGGGAACAAAGGCGATGCTGATGTACAACGATGCCTTTATTTCCTCTCTCTGCTCACCTCATGTTACACTCTTTATTTCAAGCCATCTCGATCCCTCAAAGGTAGTGGAAGAGACTCTTCAGCGAAGGTTATCAGGGGAAGGCCAGGATGTAGTAGGAGTGAAAGAGTAGGTGGTGATGTTAGAAATCTTCACACATGCAGACAGATGCAATCAGAGAGCTGGTGCTCTTCACTCCTTTGATATTTCTCGCCACAATGAGGAAAGCCTGTGGGAAATATTCAGTGCTATCTTGCTGTTTAGTAAGTCTCCTAGAGGAGGTCAAACTGAGCCTGGGTGCTCTCTAGTGACCATTACGTCACTTTCAGATGACCAAAGTGCCAGTTATACCATTTCCCCCCAAAGTTTCCTTTGTTAGTTTGACAGTCTGCATGTTTTATGTTTTGTATCTGAAGAGAGAAATAGTCATTAATATATTAAACACTGACTTGTTATTTATTTTTACTGTAAAAGAAAAAGACATGTTCTTGAAAGAATAAATTCATACTTGTTTTAACAAAGTCTGTTCGTGTGGGAGTTTTATTCTATGTCTTGGCAAATATCCAGTCAAGCACCCAAAGCAAAAAGAGGACAGCACACACACACACACACACACACACACACACACACGCAAACTCACACACACCGACACACAGACACGCAGAGACTGCTGGCCTTGTGTTTGCAGGCAGCTGACCATCCCTTTCAGTTACACAACTATTAATAAAAGCAAAAGAAGTAACAGAAAGTGAGCAGGGCTGCAGTTCTCTGCTCAGTGAATCTAAACCAAACTCAAACAGCAGGAATCGTATCTTTCTCTTACAGATTAATGTAATTTTATTGACAAAATGATCTTGTCATTCTACGTGAGGCCATGCCATCATGAGTTACAAAAAAAAGTCACTCATTGTCAGTTTTTACAGTGCAACCTGAGCTTAAATACATTTACCTGACAAGCACTGTTTGGAAATGCAAGAATTTCACTTCAATTTATAGACTGCTTAGTTAAAACTTTTTCATTAAACTTTCATGAGCTGAAGTTGAATAACAAAAGTTTCTTCTATATTAACACATGGACAACAATTGTCCCATTTCCCAAACAACATCTGAAAGGTTCAGAGGCAACAGGAAAATTATATATTTTTTACTGAGTATTGTTGCTTTCAGGTATATTTCACAATAAACAATATTATTAGCAAAGAGGTTTAACATTGTAAAAACACATTTCTACTACTTTTTAAAACCACCTTTTGTAATTTGAATTGTATGCCATTAGAACTGTAAAAGCACATTTTGGAATAAAAATATCCACGCTGTCCTAACTGAATGTACAACTGTTCAAAGCTACAATTTGCATTTTGTGCAAAGCGGCGTGTTTCACTGAAACAACTCTGGCAAGAGCTGTTCTCCTGGCATCTGCAAAACCATGACATTTATTGCACAGATAACATCAGATTTCTGAAAGTGACTAATTGTTTTACAAACTTAGGTAGTAGCAGTCTGCATGCCTAGATGCTGGATATATGTGAATGATCTGAGCACCTGAAATGATTTACCTGGGTGAGGGAATATCTTTGGCAGTATCGTGAATAACATTGTTCAAAAACAATGGATAAAGCATTGAGTGCACTGTGCAATCCAGCATTTGCAAGGGCATAGCAGAACTGCAAACCAATACATGGCCATCCACTGAATCAGAAAGGCCAGGCATATGTTGAAATGGAAAAGTCAAAGTATGGATCTGAATCTAATCAAGAATTTATTTGTGGCGCAAGTTATAAATTGAAGCTCACAGACAATCTCCATTCTGTATATTTTGTGAAGAAAAATGGACGAAAACCTGAGTTTGTACATTTGTACCCCGAAAAAGGGGTATTCATTTATTGGGACGTGTTTTTGTCTTTAACTCGACAAAATTCTAAAAAGTTTACCGCAAACTAATACTTTTGCAATGCACTACATATTACATTGATACAGCAGGTCTTTTGTACTCTGACGCGTTGCACGTGTAAGCCAATGCGTTCACGACATGCAGTTGCTAAAATAAATTATCAGTTCATTTTCATTAAAAGTTACAATATGTTTGCGGCAGATTGCATCGCAAGCAAACAGACAAGCTTTTCATCCTGCAAACACACAGTTTGCTCTCCGTGGCATAAAGCTCACTCAGAAATGTCTTACTCCAGTTTGTCATGCCTATATAAGGACGAAACCAGCGCATCACTCGCCCCATCTTTTAGATTCCCATTGGTCTCTGAGCTTCTGTTTGGCAGGGGAAAAAAAAAAAAAAAATCCATGACGCACCTTTTTTGTAGAGTACATATAAACTGTGTGGGTTTGATTGGACGCCATCCATGTCACTCAGCAGTCAGAACGGACATTATCTCTAGGAATGTGAGCGAGGTGGAGGGAGCGGTTGCGAGCGAGTGTCTGTCGACGCCTCAGTTATGTTGAATAGATGAATATTAATGACTCCCAATTTAACTTGTCGAAGAGAAGGAGCGGTGCAGAGACAGGGTAGAAAAGCTCTGCGCTTGTTTGAGTGCGTCACTATTCTGTCACACTTCTCTCCACCTGCTGGGCCCTCGCTGCTCTCGCTTCCCTTCCTCTCTCCACACACATTCATGCGTTCTCACCTTCGCATGTGCGAGTGCAATTTGCAAGTTATTCATCTTATTTTGTGTTCAGGAGTTGAATTTATGCCACCCCACAGATATTTTACTTGAGTGCATCTGTGCTCCAGTTTTCACACGTTTCCTGTTTTGCTACAGCACCTTGACGTCATGCTCCGTGTTTTTCTTTAAACATTTGCACACTTATGCTTGAGTCCTTTTTAGGCTGCTTTATGTAATTGAAAAAAAAAAAAAAAAAAAAAAAAACAGAGTTTGAATTCATGGTCTTTTCTCTCAGTCTTTCATGTAGCCAGTTTGACATTGTCTGCAGGTTTGCTCTGGAGCTGCTGTCCAAACCAAGCTCAACTTCTTAGAATTTTTTTTTCTCTCTTTGACTTATTTACAATATTCTGCTGTAAAAATTCCCCTCAGGGTACTTCTGCCTTTCAGTTGTTCTTGTGTCATTTTCAGCAGCCAGTAAGAACTGAGGTCTGCTCCACGACGAAGCCGAGAGAATAAAATCTTTTGATGTGCTCCCAAGCAATAATTGTTTGTTTGTTGTGTGTGAGATGCAGGGAAGCTAAATAATAGCCAACTTTGAAATAATAACTAGCTTGCTTATGTAGAGCACATACAAAAAAAAAACACAAATAAAAGTGAATTTAGGGCAACGGCAACAGTCATTCTTTTCCTTTTTAAAAAAAATTAAGACGTCTGATTGTGTCTCATGTTATCTTACCAAACGCTGGACTCATACATAATCACTTCTGTCAAAGAATACAGAGAATGGCCACTGTGTAAATACGTAGATAATAAATATGTAGGTGTGCAAGAAAAGGACACCTAAAAGTCACTGATGTCAAACCAGGACTGGAAAACGGAGCTCACCGCTGACAGAGGGATGAAAATAAGGACTTGTGTGAAAGAGATAGCGACAGTAAGATAGCAACAGAGGAGGTGTGACGTTTGAGTCATGTTCTTGGATCTCTCTTCAGTGGAGAACATTTGGACGGCTTAAGTGTGCAAGCACAGAAAACACGTGCGAACATACACCCTCATTGGCAAGAGGTCTGCGTTGCTGCTGCGCCTTAAGAGAGGCCGACTGGGAGACAGACGTTTCTTCGTGCATCACACGAGCGGGAACCACGCACATATACACGCCCACTTGTACATCAACAGGCAAACTCACTAGGATTTTTTTTTCCAACCAGGTGGCCCTAAAATATCAGATATCTGCTGTGTTTTCCAAAACACAAGCATTCGGAGGTAGGTCAAGAGCTCTGCAATAATCAAATGTATAGGCACCTTTAATAAGTTGGAATATGGGATCTGAAGAGGCTCTTACTCAAAGTAAAAGCACCTTTTAAAGGTAACAACCTTTAAGCGGGTATTAAACATACTTTTAATTAAGCTGAGTTTTCTCTGCTAAATACGTTGTGTTATTGATGTGGTTTCTGTGTGTAACCCAGGTTAAAATAGCCTCTTCA